CTAGGATTAGCAACAGACGTTTGACTTTGAGCTCCAAAAATTACATAACCACTGTAACGAATCAGCTCATAGGAAATATGAATAATTAATCATAACCCCCCCCCCCCTTTTTTCTTTCTTGAAACCCCCAACAACAACAATCTTGAAAAAAAACCTAGACATATGTGGGGAAAAATATAATATTATTATATAATATAAAAAATAAGATTTCTAGACCTGGAAAACTCCATGGGCATATTGAATAATGAAAACATATTTTTCTAGTTATGTCAAGCTCTAAAATATTTTATGGGGTAGAAATAAGTAAAAAAATATATATATATTTTTTTTTTAATCCTTATCCTTAATCCTTATCCAGTAAATCACAAAGAATTGGAGTCATGGGGTTATCAAACATTGTTGTGAAAAAATCACTGCCATAAAATTATCTTAAAAAGTAGTCCATATGGCTTGTGTGCTATTTTCCAAGTAGGGCTGTCAGTTTAATGTGTGTTTAATTTATTGACAGCCCTAATTCTAAGTCTTCTAAAACTTGACAATCTTATTATGGTGCTTTTTTGTTGTATCTGGAGCTTAAAAGTGTCCGCCATTCACTTTCTTTGAAAACAGCACCTCAGAAATTCTGCTAAACTTCTTCACTGCTTTAAGTGATTGAGAAAGTATTTGTGTTTTCATTATCACATTTACTCACATTATCATATTTAGGTCAAAACCCAGCATGTGAGTGTCTACCATTCTGTGCTCGACTCTCTCTCTCTATCTCTGCTCTCAATGACCCATACACTTCTCTAATTTTATTTCCCTGTATTTTCATTAGCTATGGCTGCGCAACCGGGGGAAATATATTCTGCCTGCTTGTGTGTGGCAGTAAATCAATACAGTGAGCGTTAGTCTTCTCTCCTCCTTATGTAAGACTGTCATCCCTTACTTCCCTCTCACTCTTTAGCTGTTTAAATTTCTTCATGTTCTAACAGTTAGACTGATAACGCCTGACCTGAAGGTCACCTGCCGCAAACATCCAAAGTTATTTCAGCATTCTGAAGAAACACAGTCAACAACACAAGATGGGAAGTGTGTCATGACGGATGACACAAAGGATCTAATGGATTAACTAACTCTGTATTGTAGATCTGTAATGTTTAATAAGTCATTATGAAAAGATGAGGGACAGATGAGAGTTTTACATGCAATGAACCATTTCTATAAATAAAGTACAAATTTATTCCTGTGATGTCAAAGCTGAATTTTCAGCACCTGTTACTTCAGTGTCACATGATCCTTCAGAATTAATTCTGATTTGGTGCTTAATTATTATCAATTACTATTGGTGCTTAATTATAAAAAAGTATTCCTATCATTATCAATTTTGAAAACATTTTAAATATTTTTATATTTTATAATATTTTAGCTAATATTTTTGTGGAAACGGTGATACAATTTTTCAAGATTCTTTGATGAATAGAAAGTTCAAAAGAACAGCAATGATTTAAAACAGAAATCATTTGTAACATTATAAATGTCTTTAATGTATCCTTGCTGAATAGAAGTATTAATTTCATTTATTTTCATCTTTTTAAATCTTTTTTACACCAAACATTCATATGGTACATCAGTTATAGAAATTATAAAAAATTATAGAAATTTGGGACATGTCTATCTAGTTTAAATTCTAGTTTAAAATCTGATTAAAATCCTGATGAGTGTGATTTTATTATTTTTTAGCAATAAACATTTAACACAAAAAAAGACAAGATAAAAACTAAAACAAGACAAAATTAAACAAATCAAGTAACAGGTTTGCACACAAAAACTGTGTAAAATAAAATTAATTAATTATTAAAATAGTATTTTACAACATTCGATTCAAAGACTCAAATTCCTTTCCTGAGAGATTTGACATGCTTAAAACTAGGTACTTTTGATATAAAAAAGCATAATATAACAGCATAATATATTATCTAACATATCTAGTTCTCACAACATCAACTCATGGGATCTGTGTCTCTTATGAAATCACGGGACACCTAAGAGTACTGTATTCATGGAATGTGCCGCTGAACAGTGGAACTGAAGGGAAGGAGTTTCGCCCCTCTGTTTACGCAATGGCAAAAACACGACTTCTCTCTTTGCTTCTCACTAGGTGCTGTGTTTGTGCGACAGCCGAACGTGTGATCAGAATAAACTAATAAACCATCTCTTTCTCCCTCCATCTCTCCTGTCAGCGTGTGACTCACAGCAACTACTGAATCAGAGAAGCATTTAAGTGCAGGAACCAATTTTCCCCACCGTATAAAATCCACATGAGTACGAGAGCCGAGCAATTACCGGTGACGATGACAGCTTTAGGGTGACACTCGGGTCGTAAATTTCTCACTCCGCATGCCGTTGGGAGATTTCTACATGCTTTGGATATCAGGACAGACTCCCATAAATCGCAGAAACGTCTATTAGAATTCCCATTCCGGCGTTCCTCTCTCCTAACACATCTCCTCGCGCTGCCTGGGGAACTAACCTAGAGCGGTGCTAACGGTGCCGCCGTCATCAGGGTGACTGCTATGGGAAGACGAGAGGGACTGCGAGGAGCTAATTTGCACAGGAGGAGGACAGCGGGGCTGAGGAGGCTGCCGACGATATGCAGAGGATTCGCTGAATGGTTGAGAAAGGAGAGGAGATGTCGGAGACACAGCGATTGCGCTGGAAATGCACGGAGGAGGACTCGCGAGGCCTAATCAATCAAGGAGTGTGTGTGGTGATTAAAAAGCACGCAGGTGGAATTTGTTACACTGAAGAGTTTTCTCTCCTCAAAGGAAGAAAAAGAGCCAGTGAGTGGCAGAAACTGAAATAGGAGCCCAGATTAAGAAGCCTTGGAGCTAATCATTTCTCCCACAATGCTCTTCAACACTCCAACCACATTGTACAAACCAAAAAAAGTTACAAAAAAAAAAAAAAAAAAGAAATAAACCTCTAAATGGTGTGAAATTTCAAGTGATGCACCTTATATTCTGTGACTGAGCATAAAAAAGTGAGTCTCACGGATGTCCAGGTCGCATTTCTCAGTTTCAAAATATTTAATGAATTATTATTTAATTTGTATACCATTAATAAAGAACTTATTTAATTTGTAGTTAACTAGTAAAGTATTTAAAAAAAAAACCTTCTAGGCTGTTGGTGTCTGGGCTTATTTATTTATTTTTTAAAAGACATTAGATTTTGTGACTTCCTACACTTGTTATACTTCAGTACAGTAAAATAACTAAAATTTGTTATAATAATCATTTCATAATAAATCAAAAAGCAAGACGTGAAAAAATCTAGGGAGTTGAAATTGCAACTTCCAATGAGTAATCCTCTGCTGCCATATACTGATTATAATGGTAATTTCATGTCAATTTCATCTTAAAAGTCTTTGTTTTCCGCCAGGAGACATTTTTAACACATATTTTTAATGTGAAATTTATGAATGAAAAGTGAATCTTTAAAGGGGTTGTGAACTGAGAAATCAAATTCTCCTTGGTCTTTTGACATATAACAGGACAATGTACTATAAAAACATTCTGTAAGTTGCAAAACTCAAAACTTTCTCGTTAGTTCAAAAACAGCTTTTATTGAAACCAAGCTCAAAAAACGACTCGTTTTGGAATGTGCCACTTTATGACGTAATAGGTTGACAAAGCACCGCCTCCGCAGGAGATCAATGCCTGCTTCTACGTCACTGGCTCTTTAGCTCCACCCACTGATACATGTTTGTATGTCAGAAATAGAGCGGGACATCAGTTTACTGTCAGGGATTTGTTGTGTCACACCGTGCCGCATCCAGTGTAGACAGAATCGCCGATTATAATAATTCTGTTGTCTATAGTCGCATTGCGCCACTCGCGTCCAGTGTAAACACAGGGTAAAATTAGCAAAGACCTCCAGATTGTGTCAGTGAAACACTGTTTGTTTGTTTGCTTTGCTTTGCTACGAATTAATTTTTTTAACTAGACAGTGTATGATGCAGGCTTTTCAGAGAGCCTGAAAGTAAAGGATGATGCAGTGCTGAGTCTGCCTAGAGTGGATCCAACAGTAATGTTGCAACACATATCTAATGAATAATTGATTTGTTAAATCAAATGACAAATGGTGTGTCTGATTGGTCCAGACGCTACAAGTGTGAGTAAACGTGCTTTTACCACTACTGCATTGTCTTTTCCAGACCGTTTGATATATACTGAGTATTTATGAGTTTTTAACCCAAATGACCCATGTTGTTTTCAGAGTACGTCAAAGCAGTGTCCATCTGTTATTTTAATAAGCGAAACTGTTAGCCAATCATAGCAGTGGGCATTTCTTTAGAATCTTGAATGCGCCCTATGACTTTTAAAGTGACTTTTACTACACAGCTTTAGAGTTGAGAAATAATAAAGGCTTTAAAATATTATGTGTTTTAAAAATGTGTTCATGACTATGAAGGTAAGTTATTGATTATCAAGAATACCATTATGATGTTGTTTACGAGATAGCATCGCTAGCTAGCTAAGGTTAGCCTAAACAGTTGTTTAGTTGTCAGCATTTAAATGTACAATTACGTGTCTAGGTACTCTCCTAGGATTACCAGGCTTGGCATATAAAATTATATGTTGTTAAATGTTGTTCAATAACATGAAACTGTATGTTAATGCCGCTATCATTATTTTTACGGTGTTGCAATTATTTTGTTGCTCAGTTTCTGACAAGAACGAGGCAGGAGAGGTTTCTGTGAGGGTCTCAAGAGTCTTTACCTATATATCACAACATCAAATGAGCTTCACCGGAAGTTTACGAGCTGGCTTATCTTTATGCCTGAAGTTCTAAAGAACGCTCCATGCATATGGTCAATTAAGCAAGTTTTCTTAATTAGCTGGTTCAGGTGTGTTTAATTAGGGTTGAAGCTAAACTCTGCAGGACACCGGCCCTCCAGGACCGAGTTTGGAGACCCCTGTTGTAGAGTAAGCAGTGATTGACATCATAATGGTACTTACTTCTCATTGGTGGAGCTGGCCTTCCTCTGGCAGAACATGGACAGGGAGGAGGAGCCAGGCACTACTTCTTGCTTGATTTCCCATGCTGCCAGATTACTGGGCTTCACCACCATGAAATTAATGCCTTCCCCATACTGGACTCTAAGGAAATCAAGAACACAGGATTTGAACACTCTAAACAACACACCCATAAACTTATTCACTTAACATAACTTCATACATATCATGCTCAAACACACATTTTTGTTTTTAATTTAGAAAATGCAGCCCCTTAATGATAACATATTGCTTTTTTATTACCTGTTTAATAAATAATCAGCTACTACCAGGTATAAAATCCCTAGCAGGTGATTCACATTAATATTTAATCTTAATTCTACATCCAATTTTAGAAAAGCAACCACATGGGGGTGTATATCAAACTTTTTCAAGAGTTTTACAGTGTTAGTACAGTTAGTACAGTTAGTACATAAAATGGCTAATACATTAGTTAGCTAATGCATATTAAACACTGCTGTTCTGGTGTACATTTATGTACTTTAGAAAGTATACCGTATACAAGTATATAGTCATATGTGGATGAGGATATGTGCATTTTTTATTGATAAATCTCTGTCCTCTGGACTTGTCTGCTGACTCATCTAGTCATCACCTTGGCAAGACACTGCAGACTTTATTAACACACACACACACACACACACACACACAAGTCACTATATCTGCCTTTCAATGGCCTTGGAAACATCAGAGGTGAGATTTCCTAACTTAAACAATACTGCAAGCTTTCCTCAGTGGCCCTCTCACTCTATTCTCATGGTCTGGCATTACTATTTATTCAGAGTCTGTTGTCAGTGCTTTGGCTGAGGACAGTAAGAATTTTCCAATCAAAATGCAAACAAGAGAGAAAAATCTTGATTCATGATTACTGTATGATTACTGTTAAAAAGATCAGTCCTCTTTTTTCTGAGTTTGGTCTCCTCAGACTTTAGTTTATAAGCTGTACTGAAATTACCTACAGAGTAGGGCTGTGCGATATTGAAGAAAAATGCGATATGCGATACCTTGTTAAAAAATGCGATATTCGATATGCGATACGATATTGCTTAACGTGTGTAAAATCTATTTCAATTATATTCAGCACGTATTTATAGGCTGCTGTCCCTTTAAATCCGACTGCATGGACCCAGTATAATGATACACATCCGATTTCTTTCTCAGCTGTTTCCATTCATAATTCTGTGTGTATGTGTCTGTTCAAACATAAGGAGGAGATGCGAAAGACGAATCAACTCGGTGTTCGCGCACCGTCTGAAACGCGTCTCTCTGTGTGTGTGTGTGTGTGTGTGCGCGCGCGCGCTTTGCACGTGTGCGGCAGAACTGAAGAGACCGATATGCATATTGCGATATTTACATTTGCGATATTTCGATAATTTCGATATATCGTGCAGCCCTACTACAGAGAGTTGCAAATAAATTAAAGTTAAATAAACAAATAAATGTACAGCTTAAAAATCGAAACATGTTGTGGTATTGAGACTTACTTTAGTACTATTGCCATTAGTGGGGCAAAAGTAAACAAAACAACTGTCCAAGTTGCTTGATATTATACCTGAACAACAAAGAACATTACAAAGTATATCTGTCTTTTTCTCAGACAGAGACATCCTTAGTTCCTGACTCAGATTTATGTTGCCTAGCCACCTCATATTTGTGAACAGAAAGCAGGTGATGTAAATAGGTTACTTTGGTAAAAGAACATGACCTTTAATGCCCAGAGACAGAGATTCATTAGAAGTAAACCTATGACTGTGCTCTGTTCTCCACATAATTAATTACACCTCTGTATCCATGACTTAAAAGAAGAATAGAACAATAAAGTGTCTTTCTTCCAACATTAAAAAACACCTTGTTGAAAGGAAAACAATTCAACTGGCACATGTACACAATTGACTAAAAGAGGTTGTAAATATAGTACAGTAGTGCTTACTGCTATTTTTATTCCTGTTTTTATTCCTCTGACATAGAATTGTCCATCACTTTAACTGGCTAACCCACAATACAAAATCTGAATACATTACCACATTAAAAAATGTAGAAATATTCCTAAGTAGTCCATTCAAAAACATCAAAACAACTGCCATTTTTTCTAAAAATGTGAATGGGAAAAAGTTGTATGTCAGTTACAAACTTATAATGGTTCAATGTCATATTCTTATTGTGAAGTAACCTTGAGCTTGAGAAATATATAAATGCAACTACTTATTCACTACAATATATGTGGATTAGCCATTGAGCTGCATGAGTTCTTTACTCCAACAAAGAATTGATTCTATGCTTCCCGAGACACTGGGGATCGAAAGTCAACTTCAAATGTTCAGTGTGAAATGACTAAGAGCTTATCTTGATTATCAAAACTACCACACATCCCAGAAGAGAATTATCAGCTAGCTGGGAGTATTTTTGATTTATTCCAGTGACTCAAATCTTTTGATTCTGCTCAACAAAAAGACTCATTTACTGATTTATTGAGTGACTCTTTCTATATGTTACATCATTGCAACAGTAGGAGGTGCCCACCTAAGTGTGGAATTTTTTAAGTCAATGAATCATACACTTAACAGATCATCAATTTTGATTTATAATATCAATCACAATACTGTAAATTAGACTTTTGCACTGTTTAATGGAATAGTTCACCAAAAAAGAAGACATGCCGAATATTTACTCACCCTCAGGCCATCCAAAATGTAGTTTGTTTTTGCATCGGAACCGATTTGAAGAAATATTGCATTGCATCACTTGCTCACCAATGGATCCTCTGCAGTGAATGGGTGCCATCAGAATGAGAGTCCAAACAGCTTATAAAAGCATCACAATCCAAAAGTAATCCACATGACTCCAGTCCATCAATTAATATCTTGTGAAGCGACATTTGTAAGAAACAAATCTATCATTAAGATAGACTTGTTTCTTACAAACATGCAGCTTTTCACTTCACAAGATGTTAATGGATGGACAGGAGTCATGTGGATTACTTGTGGAATATTGTGATGTTTTTAGCAACTCTTTTTTCTGACGGCACCCATTCACTGCAGATGATCAATTGGTGAGCAAGTGATTCAATGCTAAATTTCCCCACATCTGTTCTAATAAAGAAACAGACTTATCTACATCTTGGGTGGCCTTAGGGTGAGTAAATAAAGCAAATTCCTTTAAAATAACAACTCAAATTGCCTCCTAGTTTCGTTAAGAATCAAGAATCGATTTATTTGGAATCAACTATTTAAATTCTGAAAACTTGTAATCAGAGTAATTTCCAAACGTTCCATAAACAAACAACTCTTCTCAAAAGAGGCATATTTTTCTGCTTTTAAACCTTTTGTTTTAGGATCTTTTGAGAACAGGAACATCTGGGTAAAATAGCCTGCTTCCATAGAGTCACAACACAGCTGCTGCTCAACTCTTACGTAACTACTCAGCTATTGTGTAACAACTAAAAAAAAATGTAACATTTCGAGCATGTTTGAAAAAGCATTAGCATATGTATACAGTTATGTAATTAATAAAATCTGATTCTAAATGAACTAAAAGGTTGTAGGTTCAAACTCGAAAAACTGTTAAATCATCCACCGTTGTGTCCTTGAACAAGGCACCAAGATGCTCCAGGGGGTGTCTGCCAAATGAATAAATCTTAAAGTTAAAGGAAAACTTGAAATCGCATCATATGACCCCTTTAATGTAATATATCTCAGGCCAGTGATCACATGGTTTCTAATACAGAAGTCACGTGGCATGTTCTGCCATAGTAAAGCTGCATTTTTAAAGAACACAAATTGACCATCACTGCATCATTTACCAGAAAACACACATGCGCATAAATATGGTGGTGAAGCCAATTGATATTTTGGTTCTCAAGACCACAATGGAAAAGCACTTTGGTGGTGAGCATAGCAACAAGAAAGGTCATGTATTTGTGTGTGTGTAAGAGTGGACACCGCACAGGAAGCATTCAGGTCTGCAGGCCAATCCAATTGGCATTTAATTAACTGGGGACTCAGATCAGGGAGTTTACCCTTCTAAATCAATCCACTATCCCAAGACTAAACGCTCACACATGAACAAACACACATGGTGGATTACACAGGTGAATTAGCAGGGTTTGCCTGGCAACTTATCGGTTGGAGATGAGTTTGCAGATCGTGGTGTAAAGGGCGACACAACCTTTGCACAAAAACAAACAGCCATGTCATTGTATGTGTGTGAGTGTGTGATAGAGAACAGTGAGTTTCAGCTTGGTGTCATTTTGCATTTAGACTGAGGACGGACCGCACAAAGAGTGGGACACAATCGAATGTCACCCATTCTAAGCAAGAGTTTTTCTGCATAATATCTGTTGGTGTTAATAATCTTAGCATCTAGCAGCTGACGTGGCAACATTTGCACCTTTATTTTCTTTGTTCCAAAACCTAGTTGGCTAACTACAGAGGTGGCATTTTTAGGGATCACAAGTGCTCGCCTTACTGTTTTAAATAAGGCAGCCTACTTATTATGATGCCTTCTGAGACAAAAATCAAAAAAGGCAATCCCATAATGCATTGCAAAAAGTTTGGTGAATAAATCTATTACGAAGCATTTCATTTCATTCAACACTGAAAGGTATTGATTAAAAAAAAAATAGTTCAAGTGCAATTTAAAATGTATTATTTTACCCAGTATTTGTGTGCTATGTATTCTGATGCCTAAAAGAGCACCATTAGCTTAGCAACATGCTAACGTCATATTTGAGTGGAATCAACCATGTGGAGTGCTGTTTGTATGCTTTGCTGAGTAGAGCAGTGCTGCATGATGCATCGAAATAAAATCAGTATCACGATATGGCTTAGTGCGATTATCAAATCACAAAGACTGTGATTTAATTAAATAGATATATGCGCTGCAGATTTGCGAATGATGCATGGCACTGTGTTCATTTGCAAGCGTGCACCTCATGATACAGTTTTTAAATATACATAGCGCCGCATTGAAACCCAAAGCGCATATATTTATTTGCTGGTCATTTGCCAAAATAAAAGCCAGATGTAGTGATGTTTGGAAATGAAGTGATTAAGATATAAATATTAGTACTGTAATATTAAAGTTGT